ACTAGGGATCGAGCCCTGGGATCTGCATTCGCTACTGCGAACTGGTGATTACCGTTTCACTCCCGCCGGCCTAAATTCGAGGTCCTCCGAGAAAATTCAGTCCAAGGCAGGACCTTTACCCTTCTGTTGTCTCTCATAGGCCCGGACTATATCGCTGTCTCTAGGAGTTCAGATCTTGTAAACCAGCGGTCGTCTTCCGGTTCCTGATAGCTAAAATGAACCTTGTATTGTTTCTGCGGACGACCTCTACCTCCAGTTCTGAAGACATCCTCAGCCACTATACCATCTAGGTCATATCTTCCATCCATATCAGGTGGGATCATCGATCTACGGGATGGAAACTGATCACTTGTTTAACAAGGTAACAACTTTGACACATGGAAAACTGGGTAAGTGTGGAGGTGTGCTGGTAGCTCCATGGTATAGGATGGTCCATCTTCGCCGCCCTTGACCTCTAGAACAGGCCACGGTCCTCTATATGTGGGCAGTAACTTCTGCGAGATGTTCTCCTCAGGCGCAAACTCTTTGGAACTAACCTAGACTAAGTCGCCTACTTGGAACTGTGAAGGGCGACGATGTTTGTTTGCTTGCTCTATCATCTTATGCTGGGCTTTCCTGAGGTTTTCTACAACGGTAGCTAGTTCTCTCTCGTGCTGCACAGCAAACTCCCGGGTCCCGGGCGACAATCTGTGAATCTGATCCCGGTTGAGTCCCTCAAACGGTCTGCGCGGTCTAAAGGACTTGTGCAGTTCGTTTGGAGTGTGACATGTAGACACATGCACGCTATTATTGTACGCACTAGCTACTTTGGGCAACATCTCATCCCAGTTAATCTGATCCGGCCTAATATACATGCGCAAAACTTGTTGTAGGATCTTGTTCATTTGCTCGGTCTGACCGTTAGTCTCTGGATGACGGTCGGACGACATCAACAACTTGGATCCATACACTCCCATGAGTTCTTGCCAGTTCTGGCTGGTGAAACGACTATCTCTATCACTAACTATTGACAGCGGGATTCCGTTCTCACTAACCCAACAGTCAAAGAACCTATGTATGACTAAATCAGTACGCGCCTCAGAAGGCAAAGGTACAAAAACTGCGTACTTGCTAAAGCGGTCAACTATGACCATGACTTGGCTCTTGCCATGCCTGCTCTTGACTTGAGTGTCCATGAAATCTATTGACACTGAGTCTCCCGGCTGATCCGGAATAGGCAAGGGTCTGAGAAGACCTAGCGGGGCGCGCGTAGAACTCTTATTACACTGGCAGACTTTGCAACTGCGAACATACTCTACGCAGTCATTCTTCATCCCTGGCCAGGTATACGCACGCATAAGATTGGCTAAAGTCTTTTGCCAACCAAAGTGACCCTCTGTGTCATGGTATTCGCCCAGAATCAGACTACGAATCTCTTCGCTATTGGGGATGCACAGGCGGTCAGACACATTAGTCTTCTCAAAAAGCAACCCTTCGGTATTGCGGTAGTTCGGTTCAGTCTATGGGGCCTCCTTGACTTTCTTAAGGAGCTCACTATAGATAGGGTCCTGCGCGTAAGCTTCTCTAACCCTCTGCTGCAGGTCCTTCCCTATATCGAGGTAATGTACTATTGCCCCAAAGTAATCCGCTCTCCTACTCAGAGCATCCGCGACTACGTTGTACTTCCCTTTGACAGGCTTGAGCTCGAAGTCGTACTGATCTCTCTCTGCGGCCCACCTAGTAAGCTTCGGTGTCATCTTGGTCTGCGTCTTTAACCATCGTAATGTCTCATGGTCAGAATAGACTTTGAAGTGCCTCCCAAGCAAGTAGTGCTTCCAGTGGTCTAAGGCTTGCCTGAGAGCGTAGAGTTCCCTYTCATAGGTAGATGTCGCGACCTTCTCTGAAGGCATCCTGGCGGACATGAACTCTACGGGTCTATAGCCATTGCCATTGTCTTGCTGTAACACTGCGCCTATGCCGTACTGGCTAGCATCCGTAGTAACGACAAAAAGCAAGGACGGATCGGCGACCTTAAGGATAGGATACTCTATCAATGCCTGCTTTAGCTTCTTCATGGCAGACGTGCAGTCCTTGTCCCACTTCCAGATTGTCTCTTTTCTTAGCAATCTGCGAAGGGGCGCAGCGATGGTGGAGAGGTTCCTCACGAACTTCCTATAGTAGTTAGCTAGGTCCAGGAACGAGCGCAACTCTGTCAGCGTACGTGGCATGGGCCAATCTCTAATCGCTGCGATCTTGCTATCTTCTGGCTTAACGCCGTCTCCGTCTAAGACGTGGCCTAGGTACAGAAYWTGGGTCTTTGCSCAATCRCACTTCTTTGCATTGATCTTGAAGTTAGCTTCCCTCAACTTCTCCAAGACCTGCCTGAGATGACCCTGATGCTCTTCGAGGGTCCTGCTAAACACTAGAATATCATCTAGATAAACATCAACAAACCTGTCTAACCATGGCCTAAACAAATCGTTCATACAGCGCTGGAACGTAGCTGGCGCATTGGTTAGTCCAAAGGGCATCACTATAAACTCATAGTGCCCGTACCTAGTCTGGAAGGCTGTTTTATACTGATCATCAGGATGTACCTCTATTTGATGATATCCGGACTTTAAATCTATCTTGGAGAAATACTTGGCCCCCTGCACTCGATCTAAAAGATCGTCTATCCTAGGCAGTGGCTCAGCATTCTTCACTGTAATCGCATTCAGTCCCCAATAGTCTATACACATTCTCAACTCCCCCTCTCTCTTAGGAACAAAGAGGACAGGCGCTCCGAAAGGAGACGAACTGGGCCTAATCCAACCCTTCTCGAGGAGCTCGTCCAATTGCTTGCGAAGCTCCTCTAACTCCCGTGGGGACATCCTGTATACGGCGCCCTTAGGAGTTCTACTGCCAGGATCTATCTCAATGCGGTGCTGGATGGACCGCGATACTACTCCTATCGGCGGCTCGGTTCGATCCTTGAACTCTTCCAGCAGTTAGGCAATCGCAGGGTCCATCGGTTTCTCCTCCATAGGCTCAGTGACTGGCCTAACATAGGCAACAAAGACCTGTTCCTCCAATCCCTCCTTCTTCACCAGTCTGGCGAACGCGGGGGCACYAAGGCASCAATGCGCCAAGGAATTYTCTACCCCTGACACATGGAACAGGCGGGCAATCTTAGCCTCGCCTGACGAACTAGGGAGCCTACACTCGTGCTCCTTCAGATGGAGCGTTGCCCCGGCTGCCTCTCCCCAATCCATTCCCAACACAATATCAAACGGGAGGTTGTCTTCTACGAGGAGAGTCAGGGAGTGGAGGACCTTTTCCACTTTCCCATCCTTCTCTAGGCGAAAATACGCCTGGACTCCCTCTACATAATCCTCTACAACCATGGTACGATTGTCCGCGAGGATACTAACTATGGGGTCTGTCAGTTTCTGGACTTTAAGTCCCAGTTTCAACTTTTGCAGCGCTTTCCTACTAATATAGCTGCGGGTAGCCCCTGAGTCTACTAGGGCCCCTACTCTACTTCTAAAAATCTCTGTATCTAACAAAATCAGCTGCCCTTTATTTTCCTTCTTCATCTTGGCCCAGGCGGGCATCCTCTCTTTCAATTCTTCGGCCACGCCTGTGAGGGAGGTGTCTAGCGAAACTCTAACACAAGCAGTTTTGGGACAGCTATCTAGACACCGGCCTGCAACCTCTGCCATAGGCACATGTGGTGTGGGAGTCTCCTGTCGGCTAGCGCTATGTTCCCCACATGGCCTAGTGGTAGGGGCAGTTGCTACCCCTACCGACGGCTGCCTTTTGACCCTTGGGCAGCCGTTCAGGTCTCTCTGTACTTGGGACAATATTTGATGATGTGGCCCGGGTCACCGCAGAAAATGCACTGGCCCCGGTCCAATCGTTGTTGCCATAAAGCCTGGTCCAGACCCAAAGATTTCCAAGGCCTACCCTGTGGTAGCCCTGGGTGCCATCCTCTTACCCTGTAGGGAGACCTATTCCTATGACGGTTTTGCGGGGGACCTTGACCCCTTCCTCCCGCTTGGCGGTTTCCTCCTCTGCTGCCAACCCCCTGATCGCCTTGAAACCGGCTCCCTGAGTCCCGGCCCACTTGGCCCTGACCTCTTCCTCCTTGCGGCCTCCCTCCAGCCGCGACAGCAGCGTAGGATCTCCCCTGGCCCGCACCGCTGTCCTCCTCCTCTAACCCCCACTCAATCTGGTCGTAGGGGATCTCGTCCACACTACCCTCATCTAAAGTGAGCACAAGGCTATCCTTGGTCTTGACTTGCCCCGAGATAGTGCGGCCCTTCCACTTTTTGCCCTTGTCTAAATCTTTGTGCCAGAAGGTGGAAATCGACGCAGACTTCGCCTCGAACGCGACCACTTCCTGCCAAGTATATCATAAGTCATAGCAGGGTCCTGACTCTTGTCAAAGAAGTGACCACGCAGCGTTTCGGGCATAGCCCGGTAGAAAAGGTTGACCAACTGGGTTTCCGTGACCTTGTGGTCAGGAACAGCCACCAACTCATCCATTGTGCCTTTGAGTGCCCTTGCACTCTTCCATTGGCGCGAGTGTATTGTCTGAAGCCTATCTGAGGCTTTGACACTACGGGCAACATTAGCGAATCGCTCCCGCAGCAGCTTCAAGAATTCAATGAGGGACGTAAACGAGGAGTACGCAACTGGATCGTCACTACAGTTGGCAGCACGAACAAGGGATCTCGCGAAACTGACGGCCTCGTCTCTAAGTGCATGGATCGCAATTAAGACCTGCTGATCCGGGGAGACCTGTTGCAAATGCACATAGGTCTTAACATTGGCCTCCCAATTGTCAAAGTTCTCTTCCCTTTTCCCACTGTAGGAATCAGGGAATTTGACTTTCACCGGCTCCCTGCGAGGACGAGCCTCTTCCTCCTTGGGAGCGGCCACCTTGACGCCCTCAATGGCACCGACACRAAAACGCTCAGTCTTCTCGAGGCGGTGAGTCACCTCGGACCCCACAGCGCCTACTAACTCGCGAGCAAAGTCCCGTAAGCCCGTTTGCATCGAGCGTACAGATATCTCCTGGCTGCGACTAAACTCAAAGTGCCTTTCTTGCACTTTAGCTAACCGCTCGACGCTCTGGGCGATGATCTCCACTTTACGTTGGAGATCCACTTGCGGAATCAATTGTGTTGTTACGGCAGCCCTCACCTCCTCCAGTTCCTGCATTGCCGCATTCGCCGCCTCCACTCTTCTCTTTTTCTCCCTCATCACTGCGAGCTTCCACGCCATCCTCTGTTCATCCTCCATCGCCCGCCGCGCCAAAACATCCCCTTCTGCTTCCCATTTTTTCATAGCGGCTTCCTGCTCATCCTTGGGGATGTAGATCGCAACCTCTTCCTCTTCACCCAACGATAAGTTGGCAACCCACTCCGAAATCCGTTTCTCCATCTCTGCGTCCTTGCCGCCACTATGCTGCCCACTCCTTTGCAGTGGCGGTCCCACCTCCTCTTCATCCACCTCCTTCAGCTTCTCCTCTTCTTCCTTTATCAGCCTCTCTTTCTCCCTGGCCATCTCTTCTTCCATCTTCTTAGTTTGGCTGCCTGTTCCTCTTTCAAGGCCTTCTTCTTGGCCCCCTTCTTCTCCTTCCTCTCCTGCAGGATGGCGGCCATCTTCTCCTCCTCCTTCGTGTATGGTTGGGTGGCGGTACCACCTCGAGTGGGCCCTACTCTACACGCAAAGGTATGCCAAAATCCCAGAGGAAAGAGGAGACGCCAGAGGGTCCTCCAGAGGGAGAACCCAACCAGCAACCCATACATCGGGTAGTCGTCCATCGTGGTGTTGGTGCACGACAAGGGTCCCACCCCTCACCACGTAACCCTACCCGGACACACTAACCTACTGACTGACTTCCTAAGGACCACAGGATAAGACCCTATCAACTATGGCCACTACTAACCCAAGACTACTCTAAGGCTGTCACTACAGAACCAAAAGCTGATCAGGAGCCATTTAAGGAGATCCCCCGTAACTCCTCAAGAATTCTTTAACGTTGCAGACCGAACGACGAGATCAGCTTGGTTCTTCTTAGCGATTTCAGCCCACAACTCAGTCGTTCCAGCCTACTGTGCCACACCGAGCAGCCCGTCGGTCTGTACCGGTCCTTGGAGGGGTTCGTATCCCTCGGGACAGTCGAGTCGTCAGACACAGATCATCAGCTGTAATAGGTCCGATAGGGGAGTGGCTCAACCAGGCCTCAACACTTAAAGACGACCCTCATTTCAGCCTACAGCTCGGAGTTCAGACCCTCCACACTGAACTCAGTAGACCTGCCGGACAGTACCGGTCATTGGGCTAGACGAGTTGTTTAACGAGCGCTTGCCGCTCATGCCCAGGTCTCCAAGTGCCAGAGTAAAGCTTTGGTCCTACTAAGCCGGTGCAGGTTTGGCAGCAAGGCCCTATCCTTCATCCACAGATTCCTAGCACCTAGGATAGAAGAGACTCAAATGTAGAAAGGAAGACAGACAGACTCAATTCAGCAAGTACCGTAGGGGTGTGCACATCCACAGGGTAAGGGAATAGGCTGAGGGGTCAATGAGGTATCACCAACTCCAGCTTGGTCAAAATCTTGGTCAGCAGCATCTCCAGTCAATGCCTTGGTCAACGCCGAGTCAATGCGAGCAACCCCCCAGTCAACGCTTGGTCAACACCCTCGGTCAACGCCTGGTCAACCCTTGGTCAACCCTCTGGTCAACGCTCTGGTCAACTCCTCACCTCGGCAATGGCTGCCGGCACC